TGTTGCAAGGCCGTTCCTCACACCTGTTGTTTATGCTGAGGTGAAGGTGGGTGAGGTCTTTCCTTGATGCTATCTTATCACTCTCCCCCAACTGTCCGCATTTCACATGCAAACCACGCGCAAAATCAACATCTCGAATTCTACCTTGTTCGCATACACTCAAAGAAATATCCTGCGCCTTTGCGACCGGTGGCGATGAATCACTAATCCGAATTGAAATTTCCAGGCATCAGGGCCATGTCCTTACCTCAGCGTCCGGGGAAGGCTTCCCCGCGACGAGAAGAAACATTTGACTCGTATCGCGAATCTTCCCGGAGGCGCCACCGTACCCGCGAGTCGACAGGTCACCATGATCCCGAAGACAGCTCCCCGTCGGGACATCGCCATCACCGGCACCATCGCTCACGCAGCTCCAGGAGACGAAGCGATGCGGATGTGGAGAGGGGCGACTGGGGGACAGACTCGAGGAATCGAAAGAGCTTCGTGAAACCGGAACGCACCCGAGTGGACCAGAACCATCCTCATTACCACTATCGCCAGAAGTCGCAGAACATGCCGACCTACCCGTCCCAGACCGGGGACGAGCCCATGATGGGTCGCGAGCAGGAAGCGGACACAAATAGCTCGCGAAGCTCGGAATCGAAAGGGAAGACAGGTGTATACGTCACTCAGGGAAATGTCAATCAGCCGATGGAAAGGGCCCCCAAGAAACGTCGTATCAAGAAGAGAAGATCATCTCGCAGAATCAAGAAGAGGGCTGCTGCAGCAGAAAAAGAACGCCAGAAGGCGCTGGAGCAGGTCCGGCCACCCAGTCCCTGGACCACGTATTGCGCCATCATCACCTTTTGGGCCCCCGATTTCATCCTGAGGTGCTTCGGCATGCCGCAGAAGGCCCAGAGAAGCGCCTGGCGGGAGAAGATTGGGTTGATCAGTATCATCTTGCTGATTGGGGCATTCGTCGGTTTCCTCACCTTCGGTTTCACGGCCACCGTTTGCGGCACTCCCCCGACTCGGCTTAGGGTCAATGAAGTCAGTAGTAGCTACATGATCTTCCACGGTCAGGCATACGACTTGTCGCACTCGACGCACCCCGCGGCTGCGGGCATTCCGGCTGGGACTAACGTGCTTTGGGATCTATCGCATAAATACGGAGGCCAAGACGGTAGCTTCTTCTTTCAGGAGGTCAACGGGGAGTGCAAGGGCTTGATCACTCTTGCCGATGGATCTGATGTGCCGACAAATTCAGATGGCGACCTTGCGTGGTACTTCCCGTGTCATGCGTTCAACCAGGACGGTTCGTCCGAGCCGAACACGACGGAGTCTTACTACCTCGGCTGGGCCTGCCACACTTCCGGTTCGGCTCGTAAGTCGTTCTATAACTTGAAAAGCTCCGGTGACGTGTATTACACGTGGGAAGACACCAAGAATAAGAGCAGGAATCTTGCCGTCTACTCTGGCAATGTCTTGGATTTGGATCTTCTACGGTGGTTTGACACAACGCAAGTCAAATATCCGAAGAAATTTGATGAGCTTCGCGAGAACTCGGCCGTGCGCGGGGTCGATCTCACGTACTATCTGCAGACTGGCGAGGAGAAAAAGATCGGCAAGTGTTTGTCTCAGATCATCAAGGTCGGCAGCATCGACACCGACACGGTTGGCTGCATTGCTTCCAAGGTGGTGCTTTACGTATCACTGATCTTCATCCTCTCGATTGTTGTGGTGAAATTTATCTTTGCTTTGCTTTTCCAGTGGTTCCTGGCCAAGCAGTACGCCCCGGCTCGGACTAGCATGGCGGCTGACTCCAAAACGCGGAACCAGCAAATTGAGGACTGGTCGAATGATATTTACCGCCCAGGACCACGAGTCGCAGACCCGACTATGCTGGAGCGGCCCGGTAAGAGGGCCAGCTTCTTGCCCACCACGTCTCGCTTCTCCAGTCCATACACCGTGAGTAACGGGGGCAAGCAGAAATATCAATATGTGACGATGGCCAGTCAGAATTCGACAACCCGCTTGGTACCCGGTGGGAGCAACTCCGTATACAGGCAGAACTACAACGAAAGCGGAGGTAGTTTGACGGCTGACGGTTCGCGCCATGCCAACTCAGCGAGTCGATCTAGCTTGGCACTTCAGGACTCTCGGTATTCAACTGCAATGCCGGAATCGGAGTCTGCTGGATTAGGTGGCTTCGTCCATGAAGCGGTCATTCCTCAGCCCCCTCCCGAGTGGCAGCCGTATGGTTTCCCCTTGGCTCATTCTTTATGTCTGGTGACTTGTTACTCGGAAGGTGAAGAGGGTATTCGCTCCACGCTGGACTCAATTGCCATGACCGACTATCCGAACAGCCACAAAACCATTATCGTGATCTGTGATGGAATGATTAAGGGTAAAGGCGAGGAGTTTTCCACCCCAGAGATTGTTCTGCGCATGATGCGTGATCCGATCGTCCCGATGGACGAGGTCCAGCCCTTCTCTTATGTTGCCGTAGCCACCGGATCCAAGCGGCACAACATGGCCAAGGTCTACGCCGGCTTCTACGACTACGGCGTAAACTCGATCATTCCCGAGGAAAAGCAGCAGCGCGTGCCCATGATGATCGTCGTGAAATGTGGGACACCGGCGGAAGCTACCCAGTCCAAACCCGGTAACCGCGGTAAGAGAGATAGTCAGATCATTTTGATGTCTTTCTTGCAGAAGGTAATGTTCGATGAACGGATGACGGAGCTGGAGTTTGAGATGTTCAATGGGCTTTGGCTGGTGACCGGAATTCCGCCGGACTTCTACGAGGTTCTTCTGTGTGTCGATGCAGACACCAAGGTGTTTCCGGACAGTCTGACGCACATGATCTCGGCGATGGTGAAAGATCCGGATGTTATGGGACTGTGTGGCGAGACGAAGATTGCCAACAAGACCGACAGTTGGGTGACGATGATTCAGGTGTTCGAGTATGCTTCTCTTCTTTTACTTACTTCTCTGTTCTTATTGTGGGCCCAAACTAACCAACCATCTAGATACTTTGTGTCTCATCACCAGGCCAAGTCATTCGAATCTGTCTTTGGTGGTGTGACCTGTCTTCCAGGATGTTTCTCGATGTATCGTATCAAAGCGCCCAAGGGCGGGCAAAACTACTGGGTTCCGATTCTCGCCAACCCGGATGTGGTCGAACACTACTCAGAGAACGTCGTGGACACACTCCATAAGAAGAACCTGCTTCTTCTGGGTGAGGACCGCTATTTGTCGACACTCATGCTCCGAACCTTTCCCAAGCGCAAGCAGATCTTCGTGCCGCAGGCCGTGTGCAAGACCCAGGTGCCGGACAAGTTCATGGTGCTACTCTCTCAGCGCCGGCGATGGATCAACAGTACCGTGCACAATCTGATGGAGTTGGTGTTGGTGCGCGACCTCTGCGGTACCTTCTGTTTCAGCATGCAATTCGTCATTTTCATCGAGTTGGTGGGCACGCTCGTGCTGCCCGCCGCCATCGCCTTCACCTTTTACGTTGTGATCAACTCGATTGTCCACCGACCCGTCCAGGTGTTGCCCTTGGTTCTGTTAGCTTTGATCCTGGGACTACCAGGTGTGTTAGTGGTGGTGACCGCCCACAGGATGGTTTACGTGCTGTGGATGTTGATCTACCTGCTGTCGCTGCCCGTGTGGAACTTCGTGCTGCCGACGTACTCGTATTGGAAGTTTGACGATTTCAGCTGGGGTGACACGCGGCAGACGGCGGGCGGCAAAGACAAGGGCCACGAGGCGGGCGAGGGCGAGTTTGACAGCAGTCAGATTACGATGAAACGGTGGCGGGATTTCGAGAAAGGTGCGTTCAAGAGCATGGCTTGCCTAACCTAATCGCTTCTTCCGCCCTTCTCATTTCTTTCTTTAATACTTGCATTGAACCTGTACTAACATTGATTCCGAATAGACCGTCGCCTCCGCATGCAAATGCAAGCCAGCTATCCTCCCTACCACCCCCAGCATAATCCATACTCTGGGTAAATTAGTCGATGCGTGTTCGAGACAATTGTTTATTATATTGTACAGTTTTGCTTTGTGTTTTTGTGTTGGGGGAAGACGGTAACTCCCTCGGAATAATGCGCAAGCGAAGTTCACTTCTATTTCTTGGATATAATCTTGATGTGGCAGATGGTCATCGAGCCGAACGGGGTAGTGGACATAGCAGGGTAATGAGAGGGGAAAGCGGCAGCAAGATCTTGTGGGATGAGCTTGGTTTGGGGTTGTAACTATATATCGTGTCCTACCCAGTCCTGACGATTTATGAACTCGAGTTTTGCTTTCTTGTTTTGTCTTTTTCTAGTATTCTTCGACTGGCTGGTAGGTGTAGCTCAGCTGACTACGAGGGTGTACAGTTGTCATTATCTTGAAGTGCTCACGCATACAGATACCTATTACACAAACCGAGTTGATCCTGCTTGGTTCGCCCTTGATGTCTCCAAATCAACCCGCTACTACATTCTCTCAGACCTCCAGCTACGACCGTAGATTTCTCACAAGAGGGCAAGAGGACCTACTCCGCCTAGTCATGACCTGGCAGTTACTTCCCTTCACCCGGCGGTTCCTTCCCAACCTCCCCTTCCGTCCACTTCTCTCCTTCAAAGACCAAAAGCCAACCAACCCTGCAATCATCGATGTCTGGAGAAACCATAAAACTCACCTGGCCCATCCGTTCCTTCAAAGCTCGCTGCACGGACGCGCATCATCCGATGTGGAGGACGTGCTGGGTTGAGATAACGACAACGAATTACCTTCCTCGAAATCATCGATGAGGCGTGGCACGAGATCTTCGGCCCGGATAGGAAGAGAAGCGACCCAACCCCCCCCCGAGCCCCGGTATTGAGGAGCACCTGCTAGTCTCACACAGGGAGGCATGGCTTGTCCCTTATACTTGTGCGATTACGCGATCGGATATCATTGTGTTTGAGCGCGGGGTTTCCGACTGCTTCGTCCTAGAGATCCTGCGGTAGAGCCGCATGACGCGAAGCGACCCATTTCACAAAGGCTCTCCATTCTGCTGCTTCCGATAAATGATGGTACTTTTCACGCCTCGATGTTAAGAACGAGGTCGAATTAATATTGAAGCAAAGGGCAAGTAAAATGTATGGGTGTCCTCAGCTTATCGTGCTGCATGTAGACCAATTGACTAATGGTGGTAGGTTTCTGTGGGTCCATCTATCACTGGAATATTTGCGCAGGATTAAAGCAAAAGAGCCCGATACATTTGTCGCCAAGTTAAAGGCTGTGCCTCCCGACACCAAAGGCCTCTATTCTATACTCTTAGCCACCATTTCGAAGGACCAGGACCCCGAAGGGCAAGAACAAATCCGACTGATACTGACACTCCTCGTATATGGTTTGCATAAAGAGTTGTCCGAAGTTCCGGGTTTTCTCTCTGCTGTCAACTACAAACCTGGGAAGCAATGGTCAAATCTCACTGCCCGAGATGTTCTGGATTCATGCCCTACGATTGTTGAGCTAACCTCCTCATCACCTCAGAAGTTTCGATTGATTCATTTTTCAGTTAAGGAATTCATTCAAACATTAGCAGAGTACAGTCCCGAGACCGCGCATGCTCGCATGGCCGCACATTGCATGTCTTATCTCAATGATCACCAGCCCTCTAGCCTATGGATACGAACCCCTTCTGCCCCCACCTCCTGGTGGTTGGACAAAAGCAAGAATACCTTTGACGCGTACGCCTCAAGATCATGGCTTGTTCATTGTGCTCAGGCTGGAAAGCTAAGACAAGAAGCACCTCTTGCAAGACACTTGCAAGGTTTCTGGTCCGCCGAAAACGAGTTTAGGGAGTTTCCTTTTGACAGACGGGTCAAAAGCTTTACCCTGCGGTATCGCAAGTCTCTTTCGCAATTGATCGACGGCGGATACAACGCCCTAGTCGTGGATTCGAAGCCAACTCTCTTCTAACTAGCCTGTCGGTATGACTTCAGAGAGGTCATTGAAGCACTCTTGTCTCGGGGATGGGACATCAACCGACCTGTGGTGACGCAAACCGGGCTTTCCTTTGCATGTGGCGCAAGTCACTTTGAGCTCGCATCTTACCTGATCGGATGTGGCGCGAGTATTACTAAGTCCGCGCTGATATCTGCCATTGAGTTCGGGCAACCGAGGGTTCTGCAGTTAGTGCTCAGTCAGGCTGGGTCAGAGGATATACAGACTGCTATAGAGACAGTTCTGGTCGATCGAGAGCCAGCTTCCCTGTCACGCGAAAATTACCAACAAATAGGCATCTTGGCCGACCAATTCGCAGGCTTTAAATAGTCCAAGAAGATCCAAAAACACATGTTCCGTCATGGGCCCAAACTTGTCAACATGCTTATAGCATCCAAAGCCACATTACGTGTCACTGAGAGGACTCTCCGACACCTTTTCCACTTCAGTGAGACCCTCCAAGATGTCGAACAATTTGTCGCGAGCGTGCTGCCGTTTGACAGCCACTTCGTGGCCTCTCAGCCATTTTGGAGTGCACCAGAACACTACTCGTCTTCCAGGATGCTCGAGAGGTCTTTCGGTATACACTAGTAATGAATCCGCTGGACTTGTCGACGGTAATATCAGAAAGGCCGTTCGAGCGGCTCTGGGCAATTCTCGTCATCAGGCGCTGTTCACGGAGCTCCTCTTCAGATCAAATGCAGCCTTAAGGGTTTCCAACGACGTGGTTCTTTGGGCCACCCAGGTTTTTGTTCCAGCTGAATTCGACCTTATCGAAATTTTACTTGCTTACGATTCCACTCCTCGCCAATTCTCTCTCACGGACCTGGAGAGGATCCTTACATCAGGCTGTAGTCGCCAGCATTTGGCGTCATTAGTGTCAAGCGACCCCAACCTTAAGCTTGACCAACATACACTTACCATGGCCGTACATGCTGCATCATTGAGCGATGCGGATGCGAAAATGCTCCTTGACCGTACAGCACATATGACTTTAACCATGTAATTGATGCACGCAGTTCAGTCAGCGGCGGCCGATTGGGCAGTTTATCAGGTGGTGACCACCAATACATCCGAGCAGATCACAGACGAGATCTTGAAGTCCGCCCTGGCGATCCGGCGTTCCTTTCAGTTGGTGACCAAGCGAAAGCTGTCTGCTGAGCCGAAAGTCCGGCGGGACCACGAGTGGAAACATATGTCTTTAACCGTGCGTGGACTCCTGAGCAGAGCGCCCGATGACTTAATGCTGTCTCCAGAGACTGTGGAGCTGGTCTGTGAGTCGCCGGACTGGGTGCTCCAACGGGTGCTGCAGCGTTGGCCCGGAGCCCCTTTGTCCGGCCATGCCTTGTGGCTTGCACTGAGAGACTTAGGGCGATCACGAGTCCTCTTGAGGGAGCGTCCTTCCATCGAGCTCCCCGCCGCGCTGCTATCTTCCATCTGCGACGGTTTCGGGCCCGCAAATCTCGAGGGGATTTTCCGCGAGATTCTCACGCTTCGACCAAACACCGTCATCCCGGAAAATGTTCTCCTCTCGCTAACGGGCCCGGACTGGGACGATGACAAGCTGGCCACATTCCAGCTTCTTCTCACGCATGAGCCCCAGGTCCCAGGGACGGAGCGCGTACTGGAACAAGTCGTCGCCCTGGGATTCCGCTCTATCCACCTGCTCCAGTCCATTCTCCATGCTCGACCATCACTTCGATTCAAACCATCCGTGATCTGCCAGATTGCCTACTACAGGAATTCTGCGCTTGGTCCCGAGGAGTACGGAAAGATCATGCGTGAGGCCTTAGCACGATCCAAGGGCTTTCCTTTGGGCGAGAGTGAGATGCTTGCGATCATAGACGGGTGCTGGCCCGACAGTCTCGGGACCATATTGTCGGAGAGACGGAACGCAGTGGCCACGGAACGAGTCATTGCGCACCTCGTAGGCCACCGGACTCCAAACTGGGACTGTGGTGCCAACGTTCCGGCCTTCGATTTGTTGTTGGATCAGGCGGGCGTGTCCGAGGCTAGACGTCCGGAATGGGAACTTCGCTTTCCGGATCTAGGAGGCCAGTGCCACCATCCACAGGGTGAAGTCTCCGCTCCCGCCGGCTCCTCTAGGATTGATTCCTTGTTCAGGAACGAGTCTGATGATGAGGATGAGGATGATGATAAAAGCGAGAGCTCAGTGTAGCTTAGATAGTGGGAACCGCTACCGCCATACCGGAAGCCCGAGCACTTTTTCAACAAGCTGAGTATATTGAGAACGGTCCAAAAGATTGTCCTTACGTAGTCAAGAAGCTCAAAGGGGCAGAGAGACCTCCGAGGCTCGGACAGTACGGTATCTGATGGTCACCTGCTATGTCGCCCACTCGTGGGCCTGTGGTTGAAAAAACATCTACCACGAGCCTAGAGACAGACCATGAGAAAGAAGCGAGTCTCGAAGACAAACGGATCCAATCGAAGGATTATCGCCGGCTCCACTGGCGCAGGGCATTGGTGTTAGGAATTCAGATCTCTTTCATTTTCAATCCCGGCTGCAACAAGACTGCTTTCTTTTTCCCTTTTTCTCTTCAAGGCTCGATACCGATGCACTAACTAGTAGCCCAGTTGTTAGATATCGGTGTTATCCACTGAGGGGGCTTCATTACATCTTTTCAAAAGCCAGAAAACACCGCGATTGGCAGCAAGCGCCGCAGACGCTGATCAAAATATACTCAGGGATAGCAGCACGTGGTCCTGCAGCTGCATCCACCCCCACTTGCCAATAGAATAAGAGAGTCTATCACTGTTACGGTCTAGCTTATCTTTTATGCGAAGACAAGTGCCAAGGCTCTAGGGCATATACCATAGGGAAGCATAATCGCGCTCCCCACGACCAAAAGTCGAAGAATGGGTAGTCAATGCAAGAGCCCTACACATGCAACCCTTCAACAGTAGTAGGGCAGGACTCGAGTGATCATCTCTTACCATCTCCAGCTAGACTTCAATTCATCAAGAACCAGGAAGTACAGTGGCATCTTAGTAGTCCTGTGGGGTCCCCGCACGATGCTGAGGACTTGTGCCCCGTCCAACAAAATGCAATACGCCGATCTACTCCGACATTTTGGAATTCGTCGTAGCGAGAAGGCCCCTCTTGCCTAAAGGGCCAGAGAACTACAGGACGCTACTTAAATTAGGTGGGTACTGTCAGCGTTCCCGAGTAACCCGGGCTACACCGTGGACGATCCAGCAATTCACCGAGCGAGTTAGTTCACACACGCAGATGGGCCCAGTTGGCTCTATTAGCAAAGAACCGCCGAGGATCCGAGAAGTCGTTCCGTCTTTCCCGTCCTTGAGATTTCATCGGTGTCGATATAATCACGCCTTCGGGAGGTATGTGGTTGGTTCCGGAATAGAGCGCTCGATCCGTGGGATATAGATATCTACCCCTCAGATAGAAATCACTAACTCCCAACACAATCCTCGTTATGACGAACTGGTCGGTCCATTCCCAATGTAGCGTTTATAGCAGAGATCCACAGTATACAGATCAACTTCAAGTGGAGATACAGTTGTCGAATCCTTCCTTGGAAATCGTGATCATACTAGTCTTCTGATTCTGAATGGAGTGGGGACTGATGAACACTTCACGAGGAATATGGGATAGTAGTAGATTGTATACACAATGCTATTATTGATTATGAGTTAAACATATCAAGGTAGATAAACTTTTGGTCCAACCTCCTCCAACAAGCGGGGGGACAACCCCGAGTCTTCCGCTCAGCATACATGCTGTACACCCGAGGGAGCTGGCTTACACCTCCGAGCACTCCCTCCCCGAGGCATTGCACTCGCAGAAGTCCCGGACAAACACATCGGCCAGGTTGCTCGGCATCCAGGTGACGCCCAGCTCGGCGGTCTTGGCGGTGGTGTTGCGGTCCCACACGAGACAGGGCGAGGAGAGGAAGTTGTTGATGGTGGGTTCATCCGAGGTCTCCACCGTAAAGACGGGCAGGTTGAAGAAGCAGGTGGGCACGGTGGACGAGGCGGTGAGGACGTCAATATCGACGACGCCGCTGTAGGTGCCCGTGGTGTTCTGGCAGGTGTAGGAGTTGGAATACAGGGTCTCGAGGTCGACGCCGTAGGTGTCGGTCAGCTTGGTCAGGTCGTCGCTGCTGATCGGGTCGGTCATGATCTGCTTGACCAGCTCCCACCCGGCGCCGGGGTACTCGAGGGTGTAGCAGTAGTCGCCGATGACAGTGCCACTGGAGACCGAGGCGCACTTGCTCGTCGAGTACGCTCCCTTCAGGATGTAGTAATTAGCCGAAACTAGCGCGGTGCCCACCAAGTACTGGCGTAGATAGCTGTTGAAGGTATTCTCGATGTCAGACGCCTGCGTGCCGGTGAGCTCGAACATGTACCGCCCATTGAGAAAATTGGCGACCTCGAAGGTGTAGTCGCCCGTGCGCAAGTCTGAGGGCCAAGAAGAGATGTCGCCCGTCTCAAAGAGCGCGATCAGCGTATCCTTCACGCTCTGGTACATGCCACTGTAAACAGTCTGCACCGCCGCCTCCAGCGTGGTTGTCTCCGCGTCTGTGGCGTCGGCGCTGGAGACGTCGGAACCCGCCAGCGAGAAGATCCCACTCAGCGTCCCGATCATCGTTGTGTCCGCTTCCGCGTCCAGCCCCGGGATAGCGCTCCCCACAATGCCCATGACCCCGCCGACATTGGTGAGAATTGTCGCCCAGTCGGGTACCGTGGCCCCCGATTTGACCGGGAAGTCGTCCACGATGGCGTCGATACTCAGCGTCTCGTTCTGCGTGGCAAAGTCGAACAGCGACCCGAGCTCGGTAATATACTGGTATGCATTAGCCACGACGTACTCGGCCCAGTACTCTGCCGACACGTTATAGTCTGAGCAGAAACCCGTTGGGAAGGGACATTCTCCGTCGGGGTAAAGATCACACTGGGTGGCCCCCGCTCCCGTACTCATGAACATCTTGCGAGTCCATTCAGTCGCTGCATAAGAGGGTTAGCAATAACTTCGCTCCATGAAGGGAGGCAATAACACATACGCGACTTCAAACTATCCTCCACTAGCCAATTAACATACGCAGCTACCCCTCGTTCTTCACTGGCTTGCAGGCCGCTCTCATCACCCGAACTGGGGTCAGAGCAAGTCTGGTTCGTGGCAATGAACTCGGTCTCATCATCGTCTACCTCGGCCTTGAGCTCGACGAGGTAATCGCCAAAGGCCGTAGCGTCGGTAGGCGAAGTGATAAAGGACTCGAGATCGATTGCCCACTCGGTCGTACCACCCATGTTCAAACCCTGGTAGTAGGTGGTCCGGGTGCTCTTGGTGGTATTGGTCATGTATCCGACCCACTGGGTCTCGTTGTAGACGATGATGTCAGAATCACTGCCACTGTCGAAGAGAACCTGCACGGTGGGATTGGTGGCAATTATCTCGTTAATCTCGGCGTTGGCGATGTAGCCCGCAGTCTGAGTGCAGCGGCCTGGCGTGGCCCCCGAGTCCGGGCCCACGTAGGTGCACTCCGGACCGGTGCAGTTCGCTGTAGTCATCTCGAAGGACCGGCCGTAACTGCTCACTCCGACCATCAACTTGTTGGAGTCCGCCCCGGCTTTGGTCACCATGGACAGGGCATAAGTGGTCTCCGTCAGGTTCACGTGCGAGCGCAGGCAGTTGCCGTCCGCGCAGCCATCATCGGCAGAAGTGTTTCCGTAATCCCACTGCCCGTGGAGATCATACGTCATGTACACAATGAAATCGACGATATCGTTGATATCGGCAACGGGGAAGCCACGAAGATACCAGTACGAGGCGGGCATCGCGATGGACAGGGTCTTGTCCGTGCCAATAGCCGACCGGACTTCCTTCAGGAATGCCACATAGTTCGTACCATCCTCGTCGCTACCGGCGGGGATGCCCGGGATATCAGGCTCACCAGGATACTCCCAGTCAAAGTCCACCCCGTCAATGCCATACTGAGACACAAAGTCTCCGATATTCTGTGCTAAGAGAGCGCGGTTCGTGGACGTCACGCCCTCTCGGAAGATCGTGTACGTGTCGCTGGAGGTAGAGAAATCCCACCCTCCGAAGGAGACGACTTTCTTGACATCCGTAAGATTGAGGAACTGTTCAAACTGGTCGGTTTGATTAATGCTGATGGAATAGTCGGAGTTAATGGTTCCAAAGGCGAAGATAATGTGAGTATACTTGCTGGTGTCAATCATGCTGGCATCCATGGTGAGACAGCTGCGCTCGACGTTGAAGGATTCGAAGTACCCAATTGCAAAGAACTCGTCGGGAGCCGTGGAGTTATTGACAATATCAAGGCCACAGTTCGAGATGCATCCATTCGTGTCGGCTTCCGCAGTACCTGGAGCGCCCGTGGTGGACTCTGTGATAGTACAGAACTCCGGGGTGGTGCCACACTCGCCCCAGACATCACAACAAGCGTTGAGCGAGCAGGGATTCAGCGTCGCCCACTCGTCATAGTCGGTGCCATTGGCCGTAGTACCAGGAACCTGGGGACCGCAGGTGGCGCCCGTCACTGGGGCGGGGAAGGGAGGATCCCCGCTACTCAGACAGATGTTCTCGCCCGCCTGGAGGTCATCACATCCCAGCCATCCCCAGGTGTGATTGTTGAATGAGTCGATATCATCGACGGTCAGGCTGTTCGATGCAGCAATCGTGGAGCACGAGTCACCCGACTCCACCAGGTACGTGTAACAGGTGCCATTACTGTATGGCTGGGGCGAATAGTCTGGTAGGTCTCCCGAGGAACAGCACACGTACTGACCAACTGCCAGGGTGGAGCAAAGGTCGGAAGCGGTGTTGTAGTCGTAGAATTCCGTGGAAGTGATGCCGCATTCTGTCACCAGGCTCGTACAGGAATCGCCCGAAACCACCTGCACGGTGGAGCAGGTATCGTCGCGAGCAGCGAGCGTCGCGGAGTTGGAGCGGAGCGGAGCAACAGTGGCCAGCGTCGCGGTCAAGTCAGTGTTGGAGTCAAACGAGTCAAACCCCGTGACACAGCCTGCCTCGCTCCACGTCTTCACCAGTTGCTGCACCGCAGGAAGGTCTCCATCCAGACTGATGGCCAGTCCAACCATATAGTTGGCGGTAGACCCACAGGACTGCAGAGCCATTTGGTTAAATGACCCCTCGGAGGAAAGAGAGGAACGCAT